TCCAACACAGTTGATAACAACTGAAGACTTTGCAGCCATATCTTTCAGGGAATCATTGTCTTTAACATCAGCCAAGATGATGCCAACATCATCCAAGCTCAAACCTATAAGGAACATCCATCTATTAAACAAAAACATCGCAAGGCAAGGAGACGGAAATCTTTACTTTTAAATAAATATTTTAAAAATATCAAGAGCAAAACTTCTCAACATCAAAAATTAGTAAAATTTATAACAATGTTTCCAAACATAAAGTATCAATATAAAAATCTTTTAAGGATCTTGTAAAAAATATTCTTACATGTACAGCAATACTATATAATTGACATTCTCACATTTAAATGAGCATTCTTAAAATAAATCAATTAAGAATAATAGAACAGAAAAAAATAACAGTAAATATAATATAACCAGCAACAACGCTACTACAAACCCAATTCCTTCCGAGCTTCCACCAGGGAACTTTGCAGCTTTTTCTCAGAGCGCCCTGCTATGGCCCAGGTTAGAGGTGTCTTCCTCTCTGTTCTCTCCTTCTCTGCCACCCTTGCTACCTCCTCAACGACATATTGTCCAGTGAACCCAGTTGCCCCAAATACAACCAAGTCATAGCGCTGACCTGGTGCCAGAGATGCCATTCTTGTTGCAAGGATTCGAGTGCTCCCTCTGTCAAAGATTTATTTAAATATCAGTAGTGTAGGCTACCTATGCTACTGAAAACATGAGATGACACATGTAGTGCCTCTACACAATCTATATATAAAATACCTTTCATATATCGCATAATATCAGTAAATACAAAAAGGTAATTATATACACAAATATATATGATTCAATATATAAGTAATCATACACACATTTATTATTGATTTAACTATAAGACAGGCATGAGAAAGGCAACAAATACCTATCTCTCTGCAATCATTTGTATCCCCAACCAGACATATAAATTAGTATTTTTTTATAATACTTCCACACAATGGATCGTGAGAATTTTGGTATCGTTGGATTCCTCTCACAGTCTAGTTTCTAAATATATATATTATTGTGCAGGGACCCCCCCAAACCCCCCACATTCTTGGCCCCGATAGCAGGGGAAGGCATGAGAGGTACCAGGGAAATTATGGGGTAAAATGTCAATGATATACACAGAATCAGTCACTATATTGTCTAATGCAGGAGGTCATGCCCCCTGCAACCCCCTCTACCCCCCATCGGGAACTGCCGACCCCAACCCCTGCCCAGTTAAACAAAGAATCCTCCACGTATTCATGGCATGTTAGAACGTTAGACACACTTGGCAACACTGCTCTTGCATGTGAGTTGTACGTTCATGCCTTTTGTGAATACATGGAGGATTCTTTGTTTTCCTGCGCAGGGGGATGCAGGGGGCAATATAGTGACTGACTCTGTGGATATCATTTACATTCTACCCTGCAATTTCCCTGGTACCTTTCATACCCTCCCATGTTATCAGGGCCAAGAATGTGAGGTTGGGGAGGCTTCTGCACAATAAAACCTACATATTTAAATCGTAGACAGTGAGAGGAATCCACCAATACCAAAAAATCTCGATCCATTAGGCAGATGTATTCCAAAAAATTACACTATATATAAATAATATATATATATATATATATATATATATATATATATATATATATATGTGTGTGTGTGTGTGTTTGTGTGTATAATATGTATATATATGTGTCTGTATATTTCTATTCATCAATCTGTCTATCTTAACATCTATCTGTCTGTATTTTTATCTATCAATCTATACTGGATAATAATACAGTTCCAACTACACCAACCTCACACAGCCACAAATATGTTCTAACTAAACTAAAAGCCTCTATCTAGAAGTAGAAAATTTCTTACATAAGAGACCTTGAACCTCAAACTGTGCAAGTCATGTCACATCAGCATATCAATGTCCACCTTTACCTAAATTTCTACTGAACCTAATACTTCAATCACATTTATAACATCTATTTCTCAACCATAACAATTCGAAACAAATTTACGCTGAGAAATATAAAACACGCATATAATCGCCATTTCTGTTTTATGAAAAAGAAATACTCGAAAAAAACACTAAACACACACGCATCTCTTATATATCATATTATATATCCAAATACGATCACATAACACCATGACAACTTATAAAAACTTAGAAATTCATACCTATTGCCTTGCAAGTGCCAGTCAGCCAGACTTACCTTCACAATGTTTACACAATCAGCTGATCTCAACCGCTCATCACACTACCAACTTACACCCACAACAATCTTCAATTCCTTTTCAAATAAAATCCTGAAAAAAAATACATAAAATAACCTCCTAAAAAAAATAAATCACTTAAAATACAACACTCTATCGGCACATACCTAGCAAGGTTCAATGAGGAGGCGAACATGATAGTGATGCCGCGTGGGCCCTAGAGCACGATGACGGGCAAGAGGCACCTCGCCATGGGCTTCTGGGCGCCCTTGACTAT